TCCACTGGAGCATTTCCTTGATTTGGCGATCCCAATATTAGGGTAAGATCAAGATTGATATTTTAGTTGTTGTTAGCCATTAAATTTGTTTGGGATCTACCTTTCAATTTTTCTAATCAAGATACAAATCTTGTATATGTGTCACCTCAAGAGAGAGAGAGGGGGGTATGTAGGATTATATATCATTAGACAAAAATAAAATAGAGATAGATATTCAATTAACTTGTTAAATCATCTTTAAATATTTAGAAATATTTTTATAAATAATGGACTAAAGAAAATAAATACTTTTTATGTTATTTTTTGTCGTTGTTCTTGTCAAATAATAGTAAAAAAATAAAATGATAAACTTTTGTCGGGGTCGATCTTATTATAAGATCGCCTGTAGCGGATACAAAATACCACATATGGTGAAAAAGACAAGATGCCAAAAAATTGAGGAAAGCAAATCACAGTAACAAAAGAATAACAAAGATCATTTTTTTCAATCAATACGACAACACGAGCACATAAATAAATATAAAAGTTAAAATCATCTAATCAAAATCTAAAATCTAAGGATACAATCAAAATCGATGTTCATCATACATACATAATGATGCTAGAGTTAGATCACCTTAGAGAGTTGAAGTATGATGAGATGGAAGAGCAGAATGAATCATTGGCTCACGAGCTTGATGACCTTGAGATACCTGCGATTATAGAAAACGTAAACTAAGCTGGGGATTGATCCAACGGAAACCTCTCTGACGCTCAAGTCAGACGTGCGGATAGTAGAAATAGTTCAGAGGATAGATGTTATACAGTTAGGGCATCTTTGGTTGGCAGTATTACATGAGATGGGATGAGTTGTACTGATTTGTACAACGTTTGGTTTGGTTGATTTTACCGTCCTTGATAATGAGCCCCACCGATTTAATCCCTGAATCGAATTATTATTAGTCAAGCCGAAATTGGCTTGACTAATTATCACATATGCAATCCCATATTGTAACCCATGTGAAATATCAAAAATATCCTTCAATAATACTACAATTACAAAATTAATAGATATAAATACTGAATAAACTTCATTTTCCTCTTTTAAAGATCATGCCCTAATTTTTACCAGGTAAAAATCATACCGTTCATGGTATTTCCAATATTCCATTCTTTGCTTCCTTGGTGCTTAATCCCTTCTATTTCACCATTAAATCCTGAATAATTCTTTTATTTTCCCATATCCTAGAATATCGGAGCAGTCGCCGGCGTCGGAACATCGGAACTTCAATGGAAGGTTGACCAAACGGGTTCCGGTAACTGTTAATGGTAGAAAATACAACTATATTTATAATGATTTTCGGTGTTTATATGATTTAATCCATCTAATTTGATTGAAGATCCAATGTTGTTTACCATCTGAAATCCAATCTGTGTTTTTCTTCTATTATTGTTGTTATTGATTTTGCTCTACTGTATCTCGACAATCCATTTCTACCCATTCTCTTTGTGTGTGTATTTTGGGTGGGGTTGGGTGGAGGGGAAGGGGTAGGGGTTGGATGTTTTTGCATCACAATGTGATTTTATTTAGCTGATCTTTAAATATTCATTTTGTTTGCTCTCCTTAATTGGTGAATTCTTTCGTGTTTCAAACATTCGATTCGCCTTTTTTTATGCATTCATACAGATTAGCTTACTTGTTTATACAGATGGGCCATTTGAATCGAATCCCCTAGCGGTTTTGTCACTCGAATTCTTTCGCGAATTACTGTAGCTCATTACAAGAAATAAACACAAACCGACACACAATAACCAAGTTTCAGAAAAAAAAAAAAAAAAAACAAATTATAAGAGAATTTAGAGTTTCAGTAAAGTTGTATCCATGTATTGAAGAAGATGGAGGACTTGGTCAATAAGGAGAGAGACCCGATGAATTCCAAAATATATTTTAAGGGCAAATCAGTAATTTACCCAGAAAATCCACATAAAACAGTGTTGTCACCCAAACAAAATATGATATTGCTAGTGTTGTATAAATAGTTTCTTCCCCCATAACTCCAACCAAATGAGGGATTACTTATTCTGAATCAACAATTTAGTCCCAATATAACATATCCCATCCATAGCTATCTATCCAAACTACCCAACCAAAAAGGCCCTTAGAGTATTGCTCAGATAATAGGACATACCTTAAAGAATGAGTTCAAACATTTATTTATACCTGATTGATTGGGCTTAAGTTTAATTAGTTGAGATTGTCGGGTCAAAACCTTTTTTCAAGGTGATTAATATTGGGCACATAGCCCAATAAGTAAACAAAATTGTAGACCTATTGGGTTGGCTAATTAGGCATATCAATACCACATAAAAACACATACAAATTACAAGAATTTAAAGTGCCAACTCGTGCATAATAAATATTCTCTAGGTATATCACAAATCATGTGAAGAATCTTATGAGGTGTAGATAAATTTCAAAACTGCACAACTAAATATTTATTAAACTTTGTCAAAATATAGTCAAGTGTGCTAGTTGATTGGTAAATTAGGTGTTGTCAAAATTTGTATAATTATATGTAATTATTATATACATTTGAAAAACCACGTACTCATCAAACATGCTGTTATTCTTCTCCAATGTTAATGCTATCAGCGGTGAGGCCTGGAATTTGTTATATAATGGGCTTAAAAGCTGTGGGGTTTCGGAGGTTGCATCCCCGAAAAAGAAATTAGAACTTTTTTTAACAAAAAATAAATAAATAGGAAAATAGAAAAAGAAACAATTTTTTTTAAGACTTCTTTTGCTCTAGTTTGGATTTCGGGTGGCCTAAAAAAATTGAGTAATTAAATAACTGTATATCACTAAAATATAGTGGATACATTATTTAATTAAGAGTGGGTTTGAGTTCACCCTTACTTAAAAATGGATTCGCCCATGACATTATTAAGTTTGTTAGATAATTTCGAAACATGTATTGTACAAGAGTTTCTGCATGAGCTTGTTATATTAATTTACCAAGCAATTCATACCTTTGAATACTGAAACATAAAGATTTAAAATTAAGATGTGAAAAGAAAGGCATAAAGAAAAACTAATACAATTGTTAATTTTCAAAATATTTAATATTTATTTTATATCTTGAAATTCGTATCCTCTTGGTACAATTTGCATATTCGTTTGTCTT